AAATAAATAGGAGAGCGTGAAAAATCGCACTCCTAACGAATTCAAGATCTCTGAATTTTGTTCGACGTTAAAGATTACAAACAGAATTCAACGAATCATAACGAAAACCCTGCATAAAAACCTCAATCCGCAACAGATTCAGACTGTTTCAGAATTTGTTTTCTCACTTGAGAAGATCATGAATGAGTCGGAAACGTGTGATCTGAAAACAATGTTATTGTTCATCATCAAACTCTCCTTCTTGAGCTATATCCAGGGATGAAATGGTTTACAAAGTGTTCCATTCTCATTTTTCGAGAAAATTATTCGTTTTCAAGATATTTCATTACACTTGACAAATTAAAATCTCCAAATGTTTGACACAAGATCAACATTTCATACCGAATTTCTCGATTCATTGGTCCCTGTAATTCAGCTTTCGATTGAAGAAAATGGTGTTGTCTGACACTCATATTATCGTTCACATTGTACGCGTCCACTCGTGGTCTATCCAAAAATATAATGAAATTTAGAGTACATATGCCTCTTGGAATGTCACAGACATATTCATGGATTTTGTCTACCAGACATTATTTTATAATACCTCTCATTCAGAACAACAGAATAATCAGCAGTATATAGGTGCGCAATTCTCTGAAGAAAACAGTATTGCTTACTTTGCTTTCTTTAACTCACTGATAATACACGATGTTATATTTTTCGATGTTGATTCACCTGTAATTTTCTGGAAAATGTTATTGCTCTCCTATCGTAATACTATATTGGTCGAAACTTTTATACATTATAATTGCACAATGTATCGTAAAATTATTAATGATTGTATCTCGCTACAGTTTGTCGAAATAAAAATTCTCAGTACTAATATGTTCACAGGTAAACATACAGCATAATTATTATAACATTCAACATTTATTTATCTGAAGACGAATTTATGGATATCAAACTTCACTTTCCATCTGGATTAGATCAATCACGCATTCGAACTGGTAGTGACCATTATCTCCGTCTACCTTTATGAACAGAAATACTGTTAGGTGCGAACACCTGACCAAAAGAAACATCATTTCATCATGTGATTTCATGTAGCGAGTATCATAGTAGACGAAAATCAGGATATTGAAACGAAATGATTCGATCTCAAGGTACCTATTATTATGATTTCAAGTATCATTGGTGAAATATGTCCATTTTCATGGAAAATGGACATAGTAGTTCACGACAATATTGTTATCAATTTCCAGAAAGTTTCATGGAAACTGATGTGGAGAATACGTCGACATTAGTCAGATTGCCAGAGCCCAGTCGAAACAGGAACAATCGAACCATGTGAAAAAGAAGAGGTTTGTATCAGACATTTCTTCACGTGAATAAGGAATCATTTATTATAACAAAACAATTTTCGAGCCAACCCCCCTGTGAATTGGTTCCTGTACAACGTTCCACAATTCTTGGACATTTGATACCAAAGCAGAAGTCAAAAACCATGCATCGAAATACTTTTTCGCGATTTGTTTGATTTCTGTGAATTGAACAACCAAAATCAATCATAAATATAATTTTGAAAAAGCCGATGCATCAGAAAAGATTTATCAGAGGCCGGATCCTGTTAGGGAGTTCCTATACAGTGTGTCTCAGTTCTGATGATTACACCCTTGTATAATTCCTGATTATGGATGATTCGCAGGAGCTAGAGAGCTTTTGGAGTAAAACTTGATGACCAAATCTGATTTAAAATGATAGGCATTGCTTGGCTCTGAGGAATGGACTAACAATGGTATGTTAATCCATCAGAAGGAAAATACATTGATTACCACACTCGAAAAAAACCCAAGAGAAAGTAATTAGCTAATAATGAAGTAGCTACTACGACAAGTGCTTCATTCTGCAGTTGTGAAGATATGGCTGTAACAATAGAAGAATCAGCTATGGCGATTGATAGATTTCCTCGAAGCAAAATCATCTCCCTGATTGATTGTGTCTCAATATTGAACGATTCAGTTCGATAAAAAATTAGAAGAAATATAATTTCCGAATATAATTTCTCACGCCGAAATATTATGAGAAGAATCACTCTGGAAGAAACATTCCAGAGTTACTTTCTCAAGTAGAACAATCTCATCAGTCGATTTGATCTGATAGCTCAGTGTAGCAGTGTATAGTGTAACAATAAAGATCACCTCTTGGGTAAATCGGTTTCTTTGCGATCTCATATGTTTTCGGGGATGCTGGATCTCAATCTGAAGTTTGCAAAGAAAACTACCTAGAGCGTTCCGAGATATTGGCAAAAATCAGGGGAATTTTTGCACATTTTCCATTTTTTGGCCAGTAACTCGAAAACTATTCAAGCGGAATGTACATTACATACATTGTTCTTGCTTGTGGATTGTGGAAACATTCATCAAAGTTGCGTACTCTGCAACAAAAAGCGTTCTTAGTCGACTTTTCGTAAATAATTCATAATCCACGTATTACTCGGGAAAACACATATCATACACAAAGAGCAACGGATTTTCTATAGTGCTCATGCGGGAAGTGGAACGTATGTGGAAGCGCTCAGGAGTGGAGACTTATATACTGGTAGTAGTTCCAAAAGCTCCTGGACATGTGAATGGATCATAGTTTCGTTTTTTATTCTGTGTGGTGAGGAGGACATGAAGAATTGATCATTCTGAACGCAGGAATCATAGTAGTTGATGTAATCGCTTTGAGAAAAGTTTGATTGATATAGGTATTTTGCATAAATTTTGATGAAAGATGGATAATAACTATTCAAACTATCAAATTATACATTTTATGATGGATACGTATCATAATCATAATCTTTGCTTATGTGCATGGGTTCTAGGGCAATGGGCAGCTGATCGCCTAGCACAAAAAATTGCAGTCGAGATTTTGAATTTGCGTCTTTTCGAATCAGAACTGAGAAAATACATTTTAGAAGGTGAATTCACTTTTCTATATAGGTAGTTGAGTCGTCATCTCGCCAAGTAGTAATCACATATTGAACCATATCAATAGATCTATCTACCCTTCGATTTCCTCCTTCGATATCATCCCCCAAGTCACTTGGACCTCATCCTAATGAACCGATTCATTATATGTACTTTATTCTATTAGCATCTATTAGCTGTATTTTGTTTCATTATCTTATCGAAAATTGAGTCACACGCTGACGAAAGCAATAACTTACATGGCCAGACTCCTCCAGATCACGCAGTGCTGTTTGTTCCTTCTAGAAATGCATTGATTATGATTTATCGACGTGAACCGACAAAGAACAGTATTTTTTGCAAGATACGCAAATCCGGTCTATAAATAACTCTATAAGTATAGCTCGAGCTTCTCACTTGTAAATTTTATATTCATGATTACTTGCACAAATTTTATAAGGTTTTGTTCATAATTTTGAATCAGCTCATCTCTGGTTTGTGGTTCATTCGAAAACACTAGACTTCCATGGATTTTCAATAATGATATACTAGTATGGTCAGGCGACCTCGGTTGCCAAAGAACTGGACCACCTCTTACAAACTACAGGTGAGCAAATTTGATATTGAATTGCTCATAACTTCCCAACTATCGAGTTTGAGAGGAAAGTGAATGAAGCACTTTCGACCTGAAATTGTTCAGAGAATATACTCTTGAGGTATGGCCATCAGGTCATGTGAGACACCGTGTATAATAATCATAAAGGACCATGAATGTCTGCAGTTGAAATAATTGTTGGTCACTATAACTTCATCATCATAATTTTGAACAATCAACGATCTGAAAGAAAACATTACTGAATATACGAAAATTATATGGAAGATACTTCGAGTAACTTTTGTTCCTTGTTGTCGATCATGATCCTTGATTATCCCTGCGAAAAAGAATAAGACCTATATACCTCTCATTGATAAGTATCGGATACATTCCGAAGATGTATATTGCTTCTCAGATCCGATAGAAAATTTCATTAGGAAATCACTCCAGTGTATGAGATGAATATTGTCCTCAGAAGAACTATTTATTAATCATTGAATTTTCCAATTCTTCTTTTCGAATGAATTCAAAATGTTTTTCAGCAGAATTGAATCAGTACAATATCATTCCGAGAACATACATAAATGAATTTTCCATAGGGAGTGATACTGAAGGAAGTGAACTTCATTTGGCAGACTACCCCGGAAACGATACCTAGTTAATCAACCAATGATCAGTTGTTTATCATAAATAAATACTGAACATCTGAAGATATCAGGTTGGATGAGGGCATATCAAATGACTTATATAATTGAGACAAAGAACTGCTCCGATGATAAATGATCATTGACTGTAATGGAGAGTATGGGTAAATCTGTTCTATATAATTATGTCATTTCGATATACATAATTATGGAGCATATAATGAGATCTTCTCGACTCCATATCATGAAAGTTACTCGAAATACACACAATGAATCTGTTATTTTCGGAATCAAAATAGTATAATAATGCAATGAAAATAAAAATGACGTCTGAATATTCGTATTCTGATTTAAAAAGTTCCAGAGTTTGATTGAACTCTTCACCATTTATCAATTAGATTCCAGTGAATATCTCGATTTTTCCTTTATTATGAACAAATATCCTATGTGGTCGATTCCCAATGTGTTCGGAAGAAAAGAAGTTTGATATCCACATTCATTAGAAGATTTCTATGCTCTTTGAGAAACTTCGGACATTGAAATCGATGCGATGAACTAATTAGATTTGAAATTATTGTTAACGTTATCTATCTCACTCAAATTTTGGCAAATTCATTATATCATGTTAATACAAAACTCAACTGAACTTTACACATTGAACATCTGCTTCATCTTAATGAAGAGACAGAACAAAAATGGTATTTTCGAAATATACAAAATCAGCAGCACCATCTCGTTAAGTAAATAATTTATATACAAATGAATTCCACTAATAACAGACTTTCAACCTCAAAAGCTTGTGGTTGTAAGTCTGCTACTAGTGAGATCTACTCAAAGGCTAGAACCAAACTCAGAACATCTGCGATCAACATGTTTGAGATATGTCTCTGAATACACACTTTTTGTTCTGTCTTCGTACCGTATAGAAGGCCTCCTATTGTCTATATAGTCCAAGTTAGAAGGAGGACCTTTGCACAAACTACAGAAAGCACACTGCAATGTATTCTTGAAGGCTTCCCTGAAGTCCCTATTGAAATAGGCATAGATAATCGGGTTCAATGTGGAGTTGAAGTATCCTATCCAGAAGACCACGGCTACGACTTCAGGAGGGCAATTCTCCTGACAAGAGTCACAGAGATAAACTGTATCGTACCAAAGAAAGAAAGGCAACCAGCACAAAATAAAAGTTCCCATTATAATACCCAATGTCCTCGCAGCCTTGTGTTCCCGTTTCATCTTCGATATATTCCTTTCTTTCGTAGGCGTGTGATGTAGATCTTGATTGATCTCATGGTGAGTAAGGGTTTTGGAAGAACCACCAGAGTTAGATAACATATCACCATTCGTATTATTCTGATGGAGTAGCAGCGCAGCTCCATGTCTGTTGTACATTTCTTTCTCTTGTCTATTGGCTTCTCTGAATATGGCGAGGTACATGAAGATCATAATTGTACAGGGTATCCAAAACGAAATGCTACTGCTGATTATAGCATACGGTTTATTGACAATGAATTCACATATGTCGGGATGTTTGTTGCGATAACGTTGATTTGCTCTCGTGGTGTACCAACCTTTGAAGATCGGTAAGAAACTGATCACAGCTGGACTGATCCAAGTATTCAATATCATGAGTGCTACGACTTTTTTCGTCATTGTCAGAGTATATTTGAGCGGTTTCACGATAGCATAGTAACGATCAACACTAATACAGCACAAATGCAGGATTGATGAGGTTGAGAAGTAAACATCTAAAGAGTTCCAAACATCACACATGAAATAACCGAATTTCCACTCTCCGTATATCTGTACACTTGCATTGAATGTCATTGCGAACATAGCCACCAACATATCTGCTAATGCTAATGATATCACGTAATAATTCGTGATGATACGTAGCTTCCTATGTCTCATGACTGAAACTATGACTAGAAGGTTTCCTAAAATGGAAGCAACTATGATTGATCCCATGATTGTGGATTTGAGGAAGAGTACGAAACCGTCTGTCCATTCTGGATCTTCCTGTGGCACATCAGTACTCGTGATGTTGTAGAAGAAGGAGGAATTGAGTATATGTTGATCATCCATATTTCACTTCAGGCTTCAGGCAATGGGAGAATGTTGTGTGCTTGTTTCGCAATTGCAGGAATTGTATCGTGGGGAAGCATAGTTCATATAATAACGTATTTCTTCGTCCTCCTCTAAGCTGATGGTTGATGTTTCATGAAATCTCTTGTCTTAGATGTCCTCATCTGGAATGCTGAACGTAGTAGACCTGTAACAAAAAATGCTCTTAGATCAAATCATCAAGAACTAGTTGAAAATCACGTTGAGCAATTATTCCAAATGACAAAACATATTGTTGTTCGTGGGAGGCAAGTGACATCTCAGTATAGTCATGTAATCGAGTTTATATCTATATGGAGATGTGAAATGAGATATACTTCAGTTTGATTGAAATCGTGAATGATTTATACATCATACAAGATGCGATCAGAGAGATTCCAATATCTATTGGGTACCGCACCGAAAACAAGAAGAGATATGATACAATGACAACTCCGAGTCACGCGCACGTTCTTTCTCAATTCCTTTATTTGCCATACTAAAACCCATGCAAATAATTGGAATTGGTAAAGTACTGAGTATCATTCATCATTAAAAAGGTGGTGCCATTATGTGCCTGTTCGCTATGGAATTTTCTATTCTCGCGACATCTTGCGGAAAAAATAGTCAGTTCGTATTGCTGGTTAATATATAGTAATATATGAATCAAGTGCATAAGGAAGCCATTCATGGACCGCAGCGTGTACTTAAGATCCTGTGCAATATAGCGAAGGCTAGAAACACGTCTAGGTCCATAATAGCAAGTTACGCTTGAAATACATACAACACTCCATGCACGACCGAAATATTCGATATTTCATTGTGAAAACCTCTTGCTGCATTGAGAAGCATATTTGATGAAATCGATCCTACTATGGTAACAGAGTCATTTTTTTGGAATAGAAGTTGACTATATTCGCTGTCAATAAATGTCATCACAAATAACTACTCTTTCTGGATTCGCTTCGATAATGGAATGCACATACCAAGTTATCTATATGCCAGGCGGTAAAGTAGTCCGCGGACGGTGAAGTGCTATTTGACGCCTGATTTTGTATAATAGTTATTTATGTATCAAGGGCGTAAAGTAGGCGTTTATGACCTGTGGCGTGAATAATGGCCCGACGGCGCTAGCCGAGGGCCATTACACGCTGAAGGCCATAAACTCATTTCATGCACGAGATACATACAAAATTTTATGCACTAGTGGTTTATTTTCTGACTCTTCTGACTGTTCTAAGTAATGACTATAGATTTCGATAAACTAATATTCCCCAGAATTTGATTTGTTACGTATTAATTCAGTGATCAAGATGATAATGGATGATAATGAAAATTATCGTACGAATATTGCAATTATCGTAATAGTAAAACTCTTCCAGCTCTAGAAGAGATTCATTCTTCAGAATTTTACAATATGCATACCCAGTATATGAACCTGACTTATTTTGACGTTGTCAATCAATCTGAAGGTTGTTGTCTATAGCAATACATCCAATAAACGAGCTGAATTATTGTCATTCTCTGACTAAGAAGTAAAATTAGTGATAATAATAATAGCGAGACTATGGAATAATCGGATAAAGAAGAAGTTTATGATATACCGCTGGATATATTATATTCTAGGAATATGATCATAGGTTTTCCATGAATTGATATGTGGATATAAAGTTACTGAGAACAGCGGGCGGTAAAATGCACTTTACGGCCCGTGGGCCATAATGAGCCCGCGGGCGGTAAAGTGCGACTTAACGCCCGCAAAACCGGGCGGTAAAGTGCACTTTACGGCCCACTAGTGCATAATAGTTATTTATGTATCAAGGGCGTAAGGTAGGCGTTTATGGCCTGTGGCGTGAATAATGGCCCGATGGCGATAGCCGAGGGCCATTACACGCTGAAGGCCATTAACGCATTTCACGCACGAGATACATACAAAATTTTATGCACTAGTGGTTTATTGTCTGACTCATAAGTAATGACTATAGATTTCGATAAACTAATATTCCCCAGAATTCAATTTGTTAGGTATAAATCCAGTAATCAAGAGAAGCGTAATGTTCATGGATGATTCACATATGAAAATTATCGTGCGAACATTGCAATTATCGTAATAGTAAAACTCTTTCAGCTCTAGAAGAGATTCATTCTTCAGAATTTTACAATATGCATACCCAGTATATAAACCTATAACTTATTTTGACGTTGTCAATCAACCTGATGGTTGTTGTCTATAATAGCAAACATCCAATAAACGAGCTGAATTCTCATTCTTTGATTGAAAAGTAGAATTAGTGATAATAATAATAGCGATAGATATGGAATCGGATAAAGAAGAAGTTTATGATATACCGCTGGATATATTAGAATCTAGGAAAATGATCATAGGTTTTTCATGAATTGATATGTGGATATAAGGTAACTAAGAACAGCGGGCGGTAAAGTGCACTTTACGGCCCGTGGGCCATAAAGAGCCCGCGGGCGGTAAAATGCGACTTAACGCCCGCAAAACCGGGCGGTAAAGTGCACTTTACGGCCCGCTAGTGCATAAAATACTATATGTATGATGATGAACTACCTGGTTCTGTGAGCGCAAAGTAGTACTATAATACCCGGCGTATAGATTACTCGTTTTATGCATCCCTGTATAATATTGAAGTTTTCTCAATATTTCTTGAAAGCGAAATTATATGATCAAACCAAAAATGAGTTATGACATCAATAAGCAGCAAATATAATACTCCTATTTGGAAAAAATTTCACCATGGTGACGTCGATTAGTTTCAATGAGACTTCTCACTGTGGCCATGAAAATATCTGATATTTTCATCGTTCTTGAGAGGCAAAGAGTTATTCACAATAAGACATCGAATAAACCTTTCGTTCATAGAATGTTGTATGTATTCAAGGCGTAACTGAGACTCTTACCTACACGCTACTGTCCATAGAAGCCTATTCTACAATATTGATACATAAATAACTATCATATGAAAAGTTGTCAACAGTTCCATATTCGTAACTCAGCCAAATTCTTCGAAAGGATTATATCAACGTATACAGACCAGGCAATCTCGAACGATTTTTATCTGGAATAAAGCATTTTCCTCGTACAAGTCCGATTTCAATGCGGTTTTTATGCATTTTCGTTCATGAAGACATTGGGAAAAGATTCATATCTTTTTCAATGTTGAAAGGTGGCAAAAATGCATCGCAGGTGCATACGGAGCATTTGAGAGTGCATCGCATCCAAATAACCAAATGAAATGAAAATTGGTTAGAGGGTGTTTTATGTAGCGCTGAATTCAAATATGAATATGTCTTGCATGGGGCATTAGTGCGTCGGAGCTCGATTCTTCGAGTTCTATGATAGCTCGAAACTTGGTTCCGAAACAAATGTGAATGAGAAAATAAGGTCCATAACCAGATAATATTGCTGCAGATGAAGGGCGCAGTTGAAGAAATCTAGACAGTTGGGATCATTTTCTCTGAATGGAATTCCCTGTATATCAGCATATGTTTTGAATCATCCCTGTAACCTCAATCCACTTCTATGATATTGTTGACCATATCTTGATCATGTGAATGTAATAAGCTTTTGTCGAAACATTGTCATCTGTAGGTGCATACAGACAAAATCAAGGGGTTCAAACTTGAATGATGGAAACTTGTTATTTTTATAGACCTCAATCGCCGATTCTTGATGAGGTTTTCTCAATTCAGAATCCTTTTCTACGTCCTGTATGATGAATATCAATTTATCATACATCCAAAGACAGAATCATTGTCATTACAATTGGGGAATTCGAGAGAAAACAATCTCAATATCGTTAGATGAGAAGATGCGTGATATTTCTGAAGAATTCCCATATTCAGGTTGGCTGAAATTGATTTTTCAATCCGGAACTTTTCGAAAAGATTTTTCAAATGGAACACCTCATATACTTTTTGACTATTCGATGTTGAATCGAAACACGAATATTTTTTTGTCATCATCCACATTAATATTTGAAACCATTTTTGAATTATTGTGACTTCGAAAATTCCAGGTTGGCCATTTCCATCTGTTATTGAAACATAGAAAGTTCACTCAATAATCTGGCTGACCAGTTCTTGATGTATTGGAAGATTTGATATCAGAATCAAAGCAATCAAATATAATTCATGATTATGCCAGTTATTCGAGAGGGGAAAGAGGGCAGCACAAAATGTCATTTCTCAATCATCCTGGTTTTTATTCCAATGTGCCAATGTGCTATGAATTTATGGAATATTTGAGAAATGCGAATGTCATTTTCCACTTTGTGAAAACTAGCATCATATAAACTCTTTCAGTTTGCGCTGTTTCTGGTATCAATTCTCCCAATGAGAACTATGGTTCACTTAACTATCAATGGAAAATTTGGTTGTTTCAATAACAGATGACAATGTGTATCGATGGAAATGGCCAACCTATAATTTCATAAGTTCAATGATTCAAAAATGATATCAATATGGATGTTGGAATGAAACATATTCGGGACTTGATTTGACATCAAAAGGTCGAAAAATATATGTGGTTTTCCATTTGGAAAACTCTAGAAATATCACTACGAATATTTCCTTATCGAAAAATCCTTATCAGCCACCGTATTCGATTTGATGGTGATAACATTATCCAGGTTTATCTTCCCTTCGAAGGATATTATGATTATTCCTACTGAATTTTTTCAATTGTGACCATAGTGATTTTTCGGTATGCATCTGCAGATGATATTATTTCGACAAAAAAATCTATGAATTTGATGTGATCAGAATATAATCAACGATATCATACGACTGGATGATGGTCACAGATATGCTTCAAGAAATGTGCTGCTATATACACGGCATTTTACTTCAAAGGAATGATCCTGACCCTGTAGATTTTTATCGCGGTGCACCCTGTATATGCTTCAATGATTTTTAGATATGTCCCGATTGTCCCATTCACATTCGTATTGGTAGCA